TTATAATACGTTTTAAAATAAAATCTGCAAATTAACATATCGTATTGCACGATAAGGCTAAAAATAAATGATAATAAGATTGAAATGCAAAGAGATTTATTTCTATCTACCAATCAAACTTAATCGTTGTTGTTAAACAATTACATGAAAAACAATAGACTAAGTAAATTCCAAATACTCCAAATTAACTTGTTTCGAGTACAATTTGTACAGCAACGATAACGTTTAAGTATAAACAATAGACAAATTAAGCCAATCTCTAAATTCATAGTAAATGCACTGTGTACGTCCTATGAGGAAATTCTTGAACAAATATGTATACAAGCCATCGCACGGCGTAACATCATTACAGCTGACCGCTGTACAGACTATATTGCGGTAATAAATGAACATCGTTTGCAATGTAGGATACATACAATACATGCACTATATAATATGCGATAATATCATCTGTTGTTGTTGTTGTCACTACAAACGGTGCTAAGTTTAAGTTTATGCGTTTAGATTATTATTATTACTATTACTATTACTACTACTAGGTACTACTAATAATAGCTATTATACCATTAGTATTATTTTATTATATTATTATACCGCAATTATTATGGTTACTGATGTTTTTGTCTCCACAGCCGCCGCCGCCGCCGTCGTTGCGACAGACAAACTAAACGCGCATACCTTTCGGTACAGGTGTGTGTGCGCTTCTGTCTATGTGGACTCAGAGACGGGCACATGTTAGGTATAATAATTGCACACACACACACATGGCGTGAATCGCACGCGTTCCTATAATAACAATAATAGCAATAATAATTACTGCATCTATTCTGTATTGCTCGTTGCACGAGATGATCCCGAAACGCGTCAAGAACTGATAGTACTCTCTATAAATAGAACGAGGACATTAACGCATTAAAATGTACCTCTCGTTCTGTAAAAGTAAATTTAATCTAATAGTTACCGTTGTATGTACATTTTTTTATATTTCGTAGATTACCCCATTGACGAGTGTACAGTTTTACTTGTTTCGGTTTGTGCGAATCTAGTCATCTCTCCGCAGTTGATGTATATTTACAGGCTACAATTTTAATAATAATTTTATATTCTCCGCTCAGGTCTGTTCTTAGGATAGATATTTTCAAACAACTAATAAGTTATCGCACAACATAGTATTGAAAAGGCTCAAAATCGGATAATTTAAAGTATATTATGTAGTTTCTAGGCCCAGTAGTGTATGTTTTGAGAGTCAAATTTGTCTAGGTGCACATAATATGTACTCTACGTGAGATTGCGATGTGATAATAGTGAAGACAGTATATAATACAATGTCGGGGTCTAACTTTTGGATCTAAGATGGAGAGGCTAATTAGGTGCCTACGATTTGGCTGTTTTTACAGATGATGTATAACATTTCATCTTAGTACACAAAATTCTACGTTTCGTTTTAACAATTATAGATTTTATATGTTTTCAATTATACACGCCTCTTGCCGACCTCTGCTTTAAATATTAATATCGTAAACAACATGACGTATGCATGAAAATCTGTAAAAAAAAACATAAGAATGATGCAATGTTGGCAACGGATGTACTTGTACATATATATGTAATATAATATATTATAATATACTCCAAAACTAATATTATACTGTTATTTTAACTTGATGCGGAAAAGTAAAAGTCAAGTCACCTCAGACCCTTATGTGGTCGGTTCCTTCTGTTATGGTAAACCGACTATGTATACATATATATATATATATATATCTACGGATATACAGCTTCCTAGGTGAAATATAAATTAAAATATTGGTAAAGCGACTATATAGCTGGCGTTGACTGTCGTCGACCAAGGTTTGTAGAGAATTTATAACACACACATACACATGTACATGATAACAATAACAATACAATATTTCATTGTTCTGCACGATCGGCTTAATAATGGCGATGGTCGTCGATGACTAAGACTTTTTTCTCTGCGAGCTTACTTACCGCGACTATACTTACTCGGGAAGTGCATAGAAGAAAAAAAAAATACCCATCCAATCCCCGACATCGGAAATACTGTTCCAATATTATTTATATTGTATGCTTTATTAACAGAGTTGGTGACAACCGTTCACGATTGATGTATTATGTCCCTCGGCCGATTTATGTACCGACCACGACAGCACAACGATTGACAGCAGACGGGTATCGTTTAAACGAGAAAATAGACAAACACAATGTGTATTTTCTAGATAATAATATATATATATATATATATATTATGATCAGCGGGGCACGTTTGTAATATAATGGTCGACTCCGAGTACGAAGACCCTTTGAAAAAAATTAAGAAAACAACTACTAATATGTGTACATACTGACTGATATATTTTGTCAACATGCGGTTAACACCTGTGTGACATGAACTCCTATCCACTTTATGTACCTATTATGTGTTAATTATGGGATAAACATTGGCGTTGTGTTGAGCGAGTAGAGAAAACGGTCGCCCACAGCAGCTCTGGTCGGTTATGCGACCGGTGCTCGCATTTCTCAAACCCGATAGTATCCATTTAACCATATAGATACATATTATGTATTAAGAAACTCTACCTTATCCAATTATTAATCTCGACTGATAAGTCTGTGCGTACGACCGTAATTGGGAACAAATGAAACGTGGCTTTTTTTTATACACAGGTAATACATACTAATCATATATTATGCTTACACGCGCTTCAGTGTGGGATTTCCATCGGTTTGGATTTATCGTCGAACGCCTGTCGCTTCAGTTTATTAATAGACCGCTTATTATGTGAACAATTAAACAATTAAAAGGTTTTTTTTTTTTTTATTATTATTATTTAAGTGTACACGTTTATCTTTTACGACAAATTCCACGCGATTTGAATTCGTCACAACGTCGCCCGCGAGCTCAGTTCGATATCTAGACTGTCAATTATTAATATAATAATAATAATAAAAAAAAAAAAATTACAATAATTACTCAATCAAAGCAACTCGGCGTACACGTGTGTCGTGTGTGGCAAACCAGTGAAACGCATGGCACAGCTCATCTGTCTAATAACCAAGAACACCGGTTTTGCAATAAAGGCGTGCGCCGATTTTTTTATTTTTTTTATTAATAGCAATAATTGTTGTTTAAGGAAATCGCAATAATTGTCGCGGGCTTATACATTTATCGTTTTATAAACAGTTTATTATTTTTGAACTGGCATTCGCATTTCTTCGTTTTCACCGGCAGTTCCATAATATTACACATCATTACCATTAATATTTTATTTACATTGTTAAATTTTTTAATTTCCTAATCATGTTTTCCCAGTCGAAATCTTTGAATAGCAAAAACCGTAACATGTAAAACGTCGCTGTGTCATCCAAATGGTCCTAATTTCCAAATAGGTGTAACATATTTTTTTTTTTTTAACCGTATGACTATTATATTTTCGATAATATTATATTCATAATTGTAACTCTCGTTAGACACTTTAGCTAGTCATATATATATATATATACATCGAGTAATGTGTTTTAAATTCATAACAAGTGCAACGGTATAGAATAAAAATATTTATGATGGATTTATATCGAAATTGTGGATACGAAAACGCTCAGCCTTAAAAACCAAAGCATAGGCAACCAAACATACTAGAAAGCAATATAATCATTGCCGTACTATTATGTTATAAGGAGTCGTTAATCTCGTTTAATGGATTATGTGCATTCGATTGGGTATATTTTGAATTGTGTATTAAAAAATAAAATTCAAAAATTATTCAGACAACCAAATAGTTTATAGTAAAACAGTGTTTCACATTTTTTTGAGAACAGTTTTTTCTCCTCGATTTTTAAGACGGCACTAAAAATTCAGTCGTCAAACATGATAATATGATAAAAACTTAAAACAAATTTAGCTTTTTCGTGGTTAATCTTGACCTTTATGATTGTCTCAAATCTTTGATTGTATTCTGTGTACATAAGTATTTTTTCCACACCTTAAACGGGTTTCGTTGTCGCGTAAAATTATAATTTTTGCTTATTTAAACATTTCCCGTTTATCAAATATAACAGTACTCGACTCCTTTGCGAGAAAATGTAAAACTGGCATTTTGTTGAACATATTTTTACATAGAATATTATAAAACATCAACACTACCACAATGTCCGTTACTATTTTGTGCGGACAACACTGTTTGCGCCAAATTGACACATTCGGTCGGCATTTGTTTTTTTTTTAGACATTCCTCTAGTATGTTTGTATTACTACAAAGTTATTTAAGTATTTCTTTGAGCTATTTTTATTTTGCACGGAAATGGACACTGTATTCGGTTGTCGAGTTGTAAACAGAGCATAAAACGTTATTGGTTATGTTATGGGAGTGAAAAAAAAACATGTCTTGTATTATTTTAATCATTTTTTCTTTTTATTGTATTTTTATTTTAAATTCAAAATAAAATAATAATCAAATTCATAAATCGTACGATTAAATGACGACGCTTAAACAATGAATCTAAAAAAAAAAAAATAATAATAATTATAATATAAAAATATTATATTAACATAGAATTGTTTGCTTAAAAAAATAATCTTATTTTGACTAGCTTTACACAAATTTCAAAAATTTGTATCAGTAAATACAATTAATACAAAACGCGTACAAAAGTTAACTTAATGGTCTATATATTTTCACAATATACAAAGAAAAAACAATTATTATATCATATTTATATATTTATATTCTATATATTACAAAATACTACAATTATCTAACATTAATTTTGAATTTTTCTAGATTTCCATGTACGTGATACACAAAAAATAAATGTCTATTATAAACTGGTTGTTTTGTTCTAATTAAATCAAATGATAATATTTCATTTTATCAGAAACGTACAAAATGTTAAAGTAGAGTTTTTTTTTATTTGTTTGAGCAATTTATCACATTTTTGCACATATATAAATATATTATTTGGAATTATAAATTATAAATACATTATTCGTAGATGGAATAGTTGATTAAAATAAGTTGAGTAAAAAAAAAAAAAAAGGAAATCTACGTATATAATATAGTTTTTATAATCAGTTCAAACACAACATTTTTTTTCACTTTTAAATTGTTGCAAATGTGTTCGAATACATTGTTTTTAAACAATAAAAAAAAAAATTGATAAATATAAAGTTTAGTAATAGTAAATAACACACACAAACACATGTATGAGAAGGTCCATAGAAGAGTGTTTTGGGTCGCAAGAGTAAAATCACAATATTTATCATATTTTACAAAACGTATGACGTTTAAAAACATACTTTATTTTTTTTTCCAATAAAACCCCGCTTACAGGTTTTGTCCGTCGACAAGACGAAGACGCAGAAGAAGAATACAGTTTTATTTATATAAATATATTATAATACACGATGAAATAACGGCAGTTGAATAAATAATAAATAATTATTTTTTCCTCTTCTCTTTTTAAAATTTCGAGCACATTTGAACAAAAAAAGATATGACGACAACAACAACAACAGAATACACAAAATAGTAAATAGGTAATAATAATATGTACGATGACGACGATGACGATTATGACAATAATAATAATAATAATAATAATATTTGTATGAGACAGTAAAAACACAAGATTGTTGCGGTTGGACTAGATGCAGCGACGGCTTTTGGCCGTGTACGACGGTGGCGACGAACTGAGGTCAGAAAATGTTGGACTTCTCCATCTGGACGCCGTTGTGCACTTGCAGCCGGCGGATCCTGGACTGCACCGACTCGCACTTGACTTCGCTGCACCGCGCGTACCTGCTGCCGCCGTTGGCTTTGATCTCGCGTATCACCACCACGTTGCTGTTGTGTTCGCGCATCAACTCCAGGCCGACGCACCGTTTGTCTTTGATCTCGTTGCGGGTGTCGAACACCTTCAGCCGGGAAGCCGACTTGCAGTCGCCGCTGGCGAACTGCGACATGGCGCGCGCCACCGCGCCGCTACACTCTTTTGGCCACTTGCGTTGCGACGACGCGGCGTCCCACACGTTAAAACACGACGCCGACAGCTTGGCCATCCTGTGCGCCTGTTGGCTCAACGGCCGGCACCACGCGTCCAGCGAATCCTCCAGCGATATGATGCTCGACCGGTCGCTGCTGGAGTCTATGGAGAACTCGCTGACGGTGTCGCTGCTGCAGTCGCTTATCGACGAGTTGTCCGCGCTGCTGCTGTTGGGCGTCGACGACGACGACGTGGACGGCGCCCGCGGCCGATACTCCGGCGGCGGTTCGTCCACAACGTACACGCGGCGGTACGTGAACGGCGCAATGTCCTTGCTCAGTCCCGCCGGCATCGTTTGCGTGCCGTTCGCCCGGCTCAGCGCTCGACTCCTGGACGTCCGGCACGTGACGCCGCCGCCGCCGCAGTTGCTGCTGCAAAAGTCTTCGTCTTTGGCACAGCCGTCGGTGTTCAAATCGAGTTCCATCCGCTTCACCAGCGACTCCATGTTGTCCTTGAACGACTTTTGCCTGGACACGCTCATCGCGGCCCTGGGCGAGTTGTCGCAGCTCTTGGACATCATCACTTGCGCCATCTGCTGTTGTTGCGGCGGCGGCGGCTGCGACTGTTGTTGTTGTTGTTGTTGTTTCGTGGCAAAGTCGGCGTCGTCTACGGTTGTCGCCGCGTTCGTCACCGGTTTCGTCTTACCTTGGGCACTACTACTGTCTTTGAAAGACGGCATTCTCGACATGACGGTCAACGTTCTTTGAAACCACGTGTGTCCCAAGCAGTCCTTGGCAGTGAGGCGATCCCTGTGAACAGCACAACATAAACACAATATGTTAATGACAATTTTTTAACATGTTACACAAAATTTCAAATCCACCAATCTTGGGTGATGTTAGGGGAATGATCTAACCTACTACCCTCGAGTTAATAGTTGACCTACTTAAACACCACGCCGTCGTGGAAAGTAATCGTTTGGCAATTTTTTTTTTTTTTTTGATATTGCAGTAATAAAAAACTTGCTTTTTACGAGTCAACTCGTTACAAAACCTATTTTGAATATTACCACGTTTTTTCCCGGTCCTAATAAAATATAGTTGATATAACTAGTGTTCCTTTCGAACAAAAAAATATAATTACTATTGACAAATCATTTGGTTTTATTGGTGTATAATTTCAAATATAATAATATACATAAAGACGATAAGCGTTTACAACAACAACAACAACGGAGTGCCAATATTTTTCAGATAAAATTGTTCGGCGAAATAGAACAACAATATGTGATAGGTACTATAAAATACCAAAACTGTTATTGAAAGTATTGAGAATAAAATGATTACATAACAACAATCAATAACGATTATATTATTACAAGTGGGTCGAGAGGAAATGCCATATCGTTGAGCAGTACACAAAATTAAACGTTAAAATGATAATTATTATAGTCAGTCGTCAGCGGACAAAGGTTTATTTTTGTAATTTAATTTACGACAAATTAGAACGCTTTTATATACTTGCAATCCGCCAATAACTATGGGTCAAGCGAGTCCTTTTTTTTAGTACACCCATAAAAAAACTATTCTTACGTGTCAAATGAACTACATTTGAAGAGAGAAAATCAAAAAAATGGAACAAATCAAATCGCGACCACCTTCTTTTGTTCCGGGACAAGTTTTTATCGCACGGTCCAAATAATATTAACCCTCCCCCCCCCCCTTTCACTCTTTCTCTCTAAATTATCTTGCTCTTGGAGACGGACATTCGATCAGAAAAAAACACATCACGTACGCGATGATGCCATTATTATACACTTACAATTATTACATAAGTGTAATACGAGATGAGACGACGAGAATCAAATAATAATTGGCCGCGAGTGAGAGACAGGAGAGTGTGTGTTGTTGTTATTATTATTATTATTAAAGTAACGTTTTAAAAAGCAAACGAAATTAAAAACAAACAGGAAGATGATTTTTAGCGGTATTGTGTAATGTACACAGTGGCGCAACCGGCGAGACCCTTCTAATCTCTCTGTGCCGAGTTCTCTAATTGCATTTGTTTTAAAATGTTAAATTTCCAAGCCAACCTTTTCCCCGATGTACATCGGACATGAGCTAACACCGCTGGAGTACCTTCATCATTCTTATAACGGCGGCCCAACACCACCAGCGAGTCTGTATAATGATAATAAAATATAATAATTGTACCTGGGGTTTTTCACCATCAGCTTTTTCATGAGATCAATGGCATCCTCGGATATGTCCTGAAATAGGTCTTCAGGAAAATCGAGTTTGCACTGTGATATGTTGCAGAACGTCTCCTGTTTGGTGTCGCCGCCGAACGGCGAACATCCGGTCAACAGGACGTACATCAATACGCCGATAGACCTGCACACGGAAACAAATGTTTTAGATGTATAAAACTGCAGCAATGAAAGCAGCTCTGGACTTGGGCAATGATGGTGAGGACTGATTAAGAAGATGTGATAAGACCCAGGTCATTGTGTTCGGACTCACCACATGTCGGTTTGCACGTCGATCGGTTCGTAGTTGAGCACTTCCGGTGCCACGTAGTCGGGCGTGCCGAGGATTTCCCGGACGTCCACTCCTTCGCTCAGGTACCTGGATATGCCGAAGTCGCATAGTTTTACATCACAGTTCGGGAAGTCGGCGGTCAGTACTAAGTTTTGAGGCTGAAAAAAAACAAGACAATCGCGGGTTATCATACACACACAGTTGGTCAACGCATATTGGTCAAGACTTTGACACGGGACGCAGGTTATAGCAGCGCGAGGTGTTCTAATTGCCAACAGTATTCTTGTCCGTACGGCTATAATGTGTGTGTGTCGTTTGACCATAACTATACTACTATACGGAGACGCGACCCGATGGCGTCAACCAGATTCGTCGTTAGCGCCAAACAACGTTGCGTAACACACACTACTAGTAAGTAGTATATATCGTATCTAGGTTAGGTCTCCGAGGCCGTTTCCAGTGAAACCCTTCGCGCTTCTGCTGCTATGGCGCAGCCGGTTAAAACGAAAATAATAATAATAAAAAAAATAGTCAAAACGACAACAACCGCCATCCTTAACAATGCCTATCCCGTAACAGTATGTATGTATTGGAAATATTGTTTTTGTTTTGCTAACGCGAAGGACGAACAACGACATTACCGGACAACGACAAAAGCGACCATCCTCTGATAATAAGACGAGCCGTTGCCGTAAAGGAAACGCGCGGAGATAACAGAACTGCAGCTGCGACGGGCGCGACGGATTGATAATGTTATTATGACATTAGTGAATAATGCATAATAATGCTTATGTACACTTGCAGTTATAAACAACAACAACGACAATAATAAGCAGGTAAAAGATTGCGGCACAAACGCGGATCGATCAACGACGGCGACGAAAGGTATAAATAACAATAAAAAGTCTGTTAGCCATCATCATATTGGCTTAGCCTTCGTCGACCATGTGTGTGTTTTGAAAACAATTAAACGTGTACTATTAACCGATCATTGCCGTGACGAAATACCAATCGACATTCGGCATAAGGAACTAACTAAGCTGGACCGACCGCCGTGCGATTTTATCAAAACAATAGCACTCAAATATGATTAAGTATTATTGTTGTTATCGTTGTCGTGGAAAATATCGGCGGCGCAAAACCGGTAAACGACGTTTTTTTGAAAAAAATCCGCAATCAGTAATCACAATATTTTGTGTACACAAGCGACGGCTTGGCTTTCAAAACACGAGACGTTGCTTTAGTCGCATTCAGACATGCTAATAACACGACCACACACACACACACACGAAAACAGTGATGTTACACTTCTTACCACCATAGTGTCAGAAATAATTAAATCAACTGGAGTTCGACTAGACCGGTCACTCATCATCAAACGCATCATTTAGTGTCTGAGAAAAAAATATCTATCCGTTCGTTTCTCGATTGACCCGTTAATGGGTTTTCTAATCACTAAATATTCTCCAAGTGGTTTTGAATCCAGACGTTACACACAAAAGTAATGTTAGCGAAATGGTTTAGCGAGGTAGAAAAAAAACCGGAAATAACATTAGCTGCGCTTTTAAGAGTCGCATAATACACGACACAACGTTTGGCGTCGAGAAATGATTAGTGGAAATCATTTAGGAACTCATCGTAGGTACGTCAGTGTTTAGAATAGAATTTCGATTTTCTGTCTGAACTCTTTTACAGCTAATTAGAAGAACCACCACTCGGTCAAGGATTTATTAATTGGTTTCCCGACGAAAAAATAATAAAATCGTCGGACCGTGGAGAACCGACGACATGAGAACCAGGATGCGTTATTATTATTATTATTGTAATAATGGTCGTCCACTGGATTCTACACACATATATAATATGATAACAATATCTATACATATATTATATCCTCCCTCTAACCCCTTCCACGCAGACACAACAATAATAATTGTGCCCGCGGGTTCCTTAAAGTTTGCTCGCATAACTTCTTCACGGCCAGTACTACTTCCTGCGTCCAATACACGGCCGCCGCCGCCATTCAGGAAGTTCTCACACGTCTTGGGGTCACGGAGTTTATGATTTTTTTTTTCTTTTTCAATTGTCCTTCTCGGTCTACTACCCGCGGCCTTTTGTTATTTGAAGAATTTTTCATAAATCCGATCCAACCGTCAATTAAACAAAATACAGTATAATAAAATAATATATATATATATTATTAAACTATCGTTGTCGTTCCGTTTGTAAGCCCGAGGTGTGGAGCATGTACATACAAATATACACAAGTTTGGTGCTGAGGATTATTATTATCCCATTTCCACTCAGCTGTTCATTTATTGGGGATCGAACGGGAACCCAGAAATAATAATATTGGAAATCATATTTCATGGACTAGTTAACACAAAAGAGAAAATTATTACGACCAATGACATTTTGAAAGTTGAATTCCGACGTGAGACGGAACCGTTTGAAGCCCGGATATGTATTGAACGCGTCGATGATGATAAAAATAAGTGTAATTATCGAAAACTCATTAAGTGAACAGCGTTTTAGATACAACGTGTTAACGTTAGGTCTAGATGCGTTAGGGGGTTCACGCTCTAAAAGGAACTGTTTACGAACCGAGTCATTTCAAATATAAAATTCGGATTTTGGATATTCTTAATTGGAAACAAAAAATGTAATCAAATTGTACGATATGGGATTCGCCAAACTCTGGTTACAAGTCATCCGTCTTGATCCATCTCGCACACAACATGCTCGATTCACATCCAAATGAACGACGACCATCATGTCTTAGTGCGAGTATTATGATATATCTCGTCAAAAACATCAAAAACGTACACACACATACAAAAAAGATAATAACACATTATCTTAACTTTGTCTCGTATAAGACAATCCGGTTTTACGGGTTGTGGCGGTGGTGGCGGTAATCGCTCATAAAACATATTTCAACGGTCCCATTCATTATGTAAAGTCCCACACGACACACACATTGTAGCAAAACGACGTTCTAGCTAGCAAGCGCACGTGAAAGAAAATACAGGCATAATGTTTTTTTTTTTTTTATCGACTGGCGGCGACAATATGTAAGTAGTAAACGACCAAGGGATTCGTTAGAGTTTTTTTTTAAAGCCGCTTCACGTGCAGCCCATTGCGCGGTCCTAACCGTCGAGCGTTGTAAAAGGGAAACATAATAATAAATTACCGCCACATAAATGATTTCAAACAACAGTGGTAAAGTTAAAAAAAAAAAAAAGTAATTATGGTTTTTACTACGGGGGGGGGGGGCAGATCAGTTAAATTAGATAAATAAAGTCCATAGTGTAACACAGTTATACTAGACTATTTTATCGTCCTCACCTTGATATCTAAATGCGCCACGTTAATGGTATGCAAGTAGTTCAGACCGTCGAGTATCTGTTGCATGAGTCGAGCTACCTCCAGCTCGGAAGGCACTTCGTCCCTATCCAATACCATTTGTAACTCTCCTCCAGGTGCCCTGGAAACAAATATATCCAACAATTAATTATTGGTCCATACTTGGCGATAAAAAAGGTATTTTTTTTTTTATCATTTGGCCCGGGCAAATATCACAAAAAAAAAAAAAAAAAATGCAAGGACTTTTCTGTACCCACTTTGTATTATACCACATACAAGACATACACAGTTGACAAAAAAACATGCACATAATAAATGTAACAACGTAAAAGTGTAACGTCGGTTACTACACTGTTATTTTTAAAAGGTTTTATTATATTATAGTTAGATTAAAAAGTAAAACCGTCCTTGATAAATTGAACAAAATTATTTTATGGCCATTTCGCAGAAAATATAATAACGATTACCGGATCTGATTAATTAAATTATTTTAATATTTTTTTCCCGCATTTATAATTAAAATTTCAAAACCAGTTATGATTTTCTTGGCATACCATAGATGTATCAAATATCAAATGAAAGTGCGCTTAATCTATATTTTAAACAAGTTACGTATCTCGTTATTAGCATTATTAACAGTCTTTATTATAATATTTATAAAGCGCACATCGGTTGAAGTTGTTTTTTGAATTTTAATTGAAAACCGCCAATTGTGTAACAAATTATAAACATTGCGCAATCCATCCGCAAATATTTTATAGGTCGTGATCCCAATAGCAATAGTGCGTCCATTAGCAAGGTAGCATCACGTTTTTTTTTTTCTTAATTGAAAATGTTATGTAAAAATAACATTGCAATACATCTACCGCTAATGTGTAAATAACGACTTGCCATACTTATATGCGAGTCTAAAGCAAAATTTCTTATCATTTTTCAATGCGACGTTGCAACTATCATTTAGCATATATTATGTATTGCCAACGGTAAAACGGTGGTTTCGAATTAAGAGTCCAGTTGTTTTTTCAATTTGTATTTAAATATATATATATTTTTTTTTGCTATTTAAATTATGTAGGTATATTATTGCCGGAGAATTAGTAACCATAAGCGTATAATGGTTTTTTACGGTCACAAAGCCAAGACGTTTTGGACGTTAGCCAAAGTGGAGTTTTATAGAATTTTATTTAATAAATAAATTACACGGGTCATAACAGCATACACATTTGTGAGATGCTCATCAAATGTAAATAAAAATGTACTTCTGTATAGTACGTCTACTACTGTAGTCAACTCATAATTAAAACGATTTTGACTAAGTACCAAAAAGAAAGGACGGAAGAAGACTATAATATTGTGTTTTATTCTTTCTTCTCGATCTTCTCTTATTGGCCTTTTTGAAAATGTTCTAAAAACGTGTGCACTACTGGCAGTAAGGTCTAGCAATACTAATTCCGACACAACACCAAAATCACTATACACTGTGTATACTTACATTTCCAGCAGCAAAATCATTTCGGTGCCGGTCTCGAACACTTTGTATAGGTTGACTATGCGGCTGTTGTATGTGCAAGCCTCGAGCACGGCCACCTCGTGCAGAATTTCTGGTCGCAGGTCAGCGTTCCGCCGGCGTTTCCTGAGGAACTTGGCCGCATACTGTTTGCCGGATTTTCTATCCCTACATCTTCGGACAGTCGCATATTTCCCTCTGTAAAACGACAAATAAAACAACAAAATTAGTTACACATTTTTTTTATTGCATACATGTCATATGGTATAAAATAAAATATGGAGTACACAAAGAGACACAAAGATTCGAGGCTGCCAGTGGTCGACCGGAAATGATTAGGTTTCGTTTCTAACGCGGCACTCCTTAAATTACAACTATACATACATTATACATAGAATTAGCATACAGTTGTTGTAAAAAAAAAAAAAAACAATATCAGACACTGATGTATATACGCGCTGGTGAATCCGTGCAGCAATCGCAGATGACGTTTGGAAACCACCATTGCAAGTGGCAACATTCGCATAAGTTATGTATTGTTACTAATACCGATTAACATAGAATAATGGCAATATCATATAATATTAGTCTAGTTGTGTTGAACCACACCCGAAGGAGGAGGAAACGGGCGCAGTTTTACACAATTATTATTTCCGAAAACGATTTCTAGCCGAGAGGACCAACTGTGTATAAATCACTCGTTATTTTCAGATCTTTACACCGTTACTACAACAATCCCACCTTTGTCGATGAGTTTTCAAAATCCCACACGGAATCGTCGTCCTAGGCAGGCGCATAAATATAATATGCGTAACAAGTCTCGCTCGTGTCGAAATCGTCAATAATAATAATAATAATAATGACATAGTGTTCTTACCGCATAGATAAAGGTTTTTAATCGTTAAACGGTTAACGAGCAACCATTAACCCGAGATGGTTAAATCAAGGTCGGCTCCGTTTCTGAGCTAATGTTGTCGTAGGACGGCGCGAATCGGATAACTAGGTTTTTTTCCCTATGTCACTTAATAGTAGTCCTCTCTGTCCGTGTCGATACTGATATCATGAAAATTTATCATCGTTCGATTACAGACTGTATTAATGATATTATATCACATTATGTAGAACAATTATTTAAGCGGTAACCATTCAGTTCTTTGGTTTTAATTAAACCCGGTGCAATTGTCACGGATCTGTAAAACTATGATACAGCAGTATACATTATTGACTATATATAATATAATAATAGTACCACAACCGACTACTCAAATGGCGAGGCAACAGTTGTATGTATTTTACTATTACTATCATTGTACAGAGATAACAATAGCCGTTTACGCTAGTGAAAATATATATCAGTCCGGGGCAGTTCGGCTACCGGTTTTTGACTTTCTACTATGACAGCCTCCAGGTGCATACGGATATTATACTCAAAGAATATTTTGATTTGATTTATTCAGCATGGCCTGTAATTATTATTGTAAAGCAAGTATTTTAATATGCCTACCGAGAAACGAATAAAGTTCAACGACGGCGGTGGTACACGCAGTTGAACACTAATGGTTTTGTTGCTCAGACCTGGACGTTATTCAAATCAATAACAATAATACAATCTAAATTTACAAGCCTTAATTGCTAATTGTCCAGTTGTTGTGCGTTATCTAATTTTGTTTTATGCACCTCCTAAAGTTATTAGGCAATATAAACTGTACGTTTATGCGACCCCCCGGCATACGCTTCTCGAGCGTCGGCTGAAATATCTGTACGTTGGCTCTCCATGAAAGAACCGTTGTAATTTTTGTTTTCCACACAACCGTTATAGTATGGACCGCTCGCGCATTACAATTATTATTATAATATGTATAGGCGTTAAAAAAAAAAAAAAACTCCTGTGTACTAGTATAGCAGCGCGGGGGAGGAGAAGAACGAGGAGGTTCCCGATGCGGAAGGCCGGTCTATAATAACAGCCGCGGTGGTTTTCACTATAGGCTATTGTCCCTTAACCGAAGCGTTTTGCGTGTAATAATGTAACTACGCCACAAAGTGTTGCAATTAGAAGAACACACACTTACAAACACACATTATATTATTCGAGAAGAGAATCGGTAAATAAAAAATTAAAAAAAAAAAAACCCCATAATATTGCAGAGTAACACACGTAGCACTAGTGTTGAAGTATTAATTATATACATATAGGTACAAGGTATCGACGGACAGAGCCCATTGTGTAACACCTTCTATTGTCACCTAAGGATTTTCGCCCGCTTTCACTGTACACACACATACACATACAGTCATTGTAGGATACCATTTATAAATAGTAGAATGATACTTTAAGTGTAAACGCTCATACAAAAACCTATAATATTGTTTGATAAATATTATACACACACACACACACACACACAAGTTGTATCGTCAAATTATTATCAACTCGGATCGACCAGCTAGTAAAATAATATTATATATATATATATAAATATATATTTTAGGTATGGAACTGACACGCCATCGCTGTATACGACGTAGTTCCTGTGCCTAGTGTATTAAAAAACAAACACAGGTGTTCGTAAAAGCGACCGGAGGAGACCGCTCGTGTATATAATATGTGTCAATATATTATTATTATATGCACAGTCACACAGTTCTTACTTCTTAACCGAATGCATCGTTTCGGCAGAGTTAAGAGTACAATACATGAAGTTATATATATATATATAGGCGTAATATGATAATGTCGAGTTGTATTGACCTAACAATAAAAACAAAAATAAAGTTAAAAAAAAGGCGTCCAGATGTAAATAAAAAGTTTCATCGGAGGAGGTGTTCGGTCCAGTCAAAAGCAAATAACAAACCAAACGGATACAAACATGGTCTAACTGCGTACACAATATGCACTGCATAATCATTTGTGGTGTAAACCGTGTAAGAGTTGATATTTGTTGACGTATCCTTGTAGATTCGACAACCGTTTAGAATATCACGTCCAAAGTGATAATGATATTAGCATACGGTTTGCTTAACCGCGAAGGTCCTCGATGGGTTTTTTCAAAAAAAAAAAAAAAAAATGGATAAACGCACAACACACACCGACAGTGTACGCGCACTTGAAAAGAATCGACAAAAAAAAAAAGGCACTTTACACATCCAAGTTAATCGTTGAGAAAGGTTAAGTAACAGTTTGTTTTTTGCTAACAATTTTCTATATGATGAAAAGCGTTGAATCACGCTTAAAGCAGATGTTTAACATGATGTGGACAAGTTAAAACAAGTTTACACAACTCAAGCAGTGGGTGTCCAAAACTTGGAGCTTAAACAACTTCGGGCCCCCTCTCTTTAAGTTTTAGGTTTGGTTTATTTAGTTTACGCCATACCAGAATAGTTTAGTTCAATTAGTGAATAATCTATTTTTATTTTCAGATGATAATGATATTTTTTTAAATACCTATATAAAACTGCAGATAAATATTAATTTTAGTTTTGAAAACCATCTCATTGCTAAAAAGACCAAAAAACTATTACTTGGCAGGACCCAAAATTCAAACGCGAACTCAACTTTGCCGCGCCATGATTGCTCTGACACTGTTTTTTTTTTTTAAATACTTTTGAATTCAAAATGAGAGTCGAAACGGTTTCTATTGTACATGTGTATCTTCGAAGTCGGTTTTACAATGACGTTTGAACTTTGGATTTCCACAATTAATATCTACACTATCTAGCTGAGTGTGTATGATTATACAAGTTCGGGCACGCCTTGCACACCGTCTGACAGTTTTCTAATTATATAAAACTAAAATAATATACATTATACAATAATTGCATACAGCCGTAGTAATTGTAGATATTATCAGCGAGCAAAAATTTCTACTATCGAGTACAACAGAGTACAATGTGTGTACCGCACTCGACAATTATTATATTATTATTATGTACTCGAGTCTGTCGAGATGTGCACACACAACACATTGTGCCTTTCTCGTGCGATGGACATTTTCTACGTGCAAATTTCGACGGTTTTAACCGCGTATACCGGTTCTTGTGGACCTATATAGGCTAGATCTAAGTATTAACTTTTACCCCGTCCAAGTCCTCGCGCACTAGCGTACACACACACACATATATATATATACATGCAGTCACACGATATCGAATGTGGTATGGCAAAAAGCGCGTTTCGCTTCAAACCAGTTATCGCCGAGTTTTACGACTGCGGCAAAAAGAAAGCCGCCTAGAAACTAACCCCGGGTCATCGGTGTAAATGCATTGTGCGCTCTCGACCCAAGGTGGACAATGCTATCGGTTTTAAGAAATGATAACACACACGGATAGGAGACGCTATCTATATGGGTTAATCGAAGAAGGAACAGCCCATGGGAACCGTTTCGGCGGATACCTTCGGAAGGTCGTGACAGAAATAGTAAAAACGACCTGATCGCACACGACAACACCACTTACTTCTTTGCCCAGTTCTTCGATCGATGAACTACTGAGCGGGCACACACACACACACACAAACTCTCAAGACAAAACGGTATAGGACAGTGCGCGTACCGCATACACAACTAGGCGATGAGGTCATTGTAGTGAAGAGAGAGAGAGAGGAAAAAACCGACACTCGGCTGCCATTTCTGTTTGACCGGGTTTCGACGGGGCAAATTGAGTTGTCACGCGCTGCCACAGTAGCAGCAACCACCGTTGCTCTCGTTTCAAACGACGCTATTGGCATTGCCCTTGCACGACGAGGCTGCGGCGCGTGATTCGTTTTTTACAGACAATTAATTATATAGCGTTATTGTTATTATTCCAAAAAAAAACGCACTTGATCGATTGTTTTATTAACGCCATTCGAGCACCGCTGCGACCTTGTGGAGACTTCGATAGTCGCAAAGAAAACCGTACGCCACTGCTCCGGTACCGGTGGAATGCTAACCCTGCGCGCGACTAGGTTTTATGACCAACGGTAATTTTTAAACGTTAAATAACTCGTGTTGGGGTACACGATCCGAATGTGTTGTATTATACATGTATACACGCTTAAATTGGTCGATGTTATCATGACCGGATTTTTATTCATAATTACACGGGGGTTGTGGTTGTATAGCTGGGCGTGCACCGCATCGGTTGTTTATTAATACGGTAAAGGTTCGATCAAGAATATAAATATAATATAGGTACTGTTATATGGTTAGATGGTTCGAAAA